CCCAATAGAGAGAATCTGCCAAAGCCCTCTGAAAATGTCTGAACAATGGTCCCTGCGGCACACGCCACGAGGAGCGGTGACCTCAGAAGGTTTAAAGTGACGCGGGTGCAGGGAGCAGGAGCAGCCCAGGGAGGCAGCATCGACAACACTCGCTGTCGGGAACAGAGAGAAAATGTTGATCTCGACAGGAGGATTTCCACACCAGTGTGGCTGCTGTCCGACTCACGACGCCGCTTGCAATTACCGGCGAAGCGGCGTACGCAGATTGTGAATGCTGTGGATTTGCTCTATACCAACACACCGGCGTTGCTGTACTAGTGACGAATTGGCCACGTTCTGTTGACGTGGCAACCCTTACTAGTTGGCTGTGTCGGGTGGTGGCGGGTTTAACGACACATTTATATATGTTTACGCGATCTGACCCCCCCCTCTCCAACACCCCTAAATTACTAACAAAGTTTTTGTTTACGCCCGCCCCCCACCCCGCCCCCACCCAGAAGGTTCCCCGTCTGTGACTCGAGTTGTCACGAGTAGCCTCGAGTCGGAGCGCCGCTGTCCCTCTGTGGGACGCGGCCTCGCCCGTGACCTGCCCCTCCTCGGGGGGGGGGGTCCCATAGCCACAGCGTACCCCGCGGATACTTTAGGGGGACCCTGAGTGTGGGTGAGTGAGTGGGTAAGTAGCTGGGTGAGTGAGTGGGTGAGTGTGTGAGTACCCGAGTGGGTAGGTGAGTGAGTGGGTGAGTGAGTGAGTGGGTGGGTCAGTGGGAGCGTGAGTGGGTTAGTAAGCATATGTGAGTTCCTGAGTGGGTGGGTGAGTGGGTGAGTGGGTAGGTGAGTGAGTGAGTGGGTGAGTGAGTGAGTGAGAGAGTGAGTGGGTATGTGAGTTCCCGAGTGGGTGAGTGAGTGGGTGTGTAGGTGGGTGAGTGAGTGGGTGAGTAATTGGGTGGGTGGGTGGGTGAGTGAGTGGTTGTGTGAGTGACTGGGCGAGTGGGCATGTGTGAGTTCCCGAGTGGGTGCATCGGTGGTGAGTGAATGAGTGAGTGAGCATGTGAGTGTCCGAGTGAGTAGGTGAGTGAATGGGTGCGTGGGTGAGTGAGTGAGTGAATGAGTGAGGATGTTTGAGTTCCCAAGTGGGTGAGTGAGCATGTGTGAGTGTTTGAGTGGGTGGGTGAGTGCATGGGTGCACGGGTGGGTGAGTGATTAATCATACACACGCATACATATACGGTTACGTACATACACACAGCTCATTTGCAAGAGAGTCCAGGGAGTCAACTGACACACAGCAACACGTGATTATGACACGTGTTCACACATGCACAAAGATCCCCCCTATAGCCTCAACAGACTGTTGGGGCAAGTGCTGTTATCGAGCACCTATGAAGGCCGGCACTGTGGCACACGGGTGGGGGTGGGGGGTGCGTGGCCAGCACCACGCCCGGCCGCTTTTGTCTCCCCAGTGGCGATGCTTACACACCTGACCAGGTACTCATTTTGGGGCTGAGTCGACCTAGGGGACACCCAGGACCGGGTACAGATATTCGTCCCCTCGAACAGGAATGAAACTCAAATCGGACCGCGTTCACAGGTGTGTGGAAGGGGGGAGAGAGAGGGGGGAGCGGGGAGCGGTGACGCTGCAGTTGGCGCCCCGTGTAAGACGCGAGCCAATAGGAGAACCGCTCTGAGCTCGCACGCCACGTGACGCCCGAGGCACCGCGGTACGCCGAAGCTCCTGCGCGTGGCCCGGGCTCGTGGCGTCTACCTTTGTTGGCCGAGAGGGCTACAATTCTAGAGCGCGGTCTCGCCGCGTGGCCCCCAAGTGGCTTCACTGAATCGTATTTGGTCGAGAGACATTCCACGCTGCAAGCGACTCCTAACAATTGGCTGCCTTGCGTGCGCGGTGAACAGCGCCGTTGTTTTATGGAGCTCACAAACTACCGCTGGCACTAGGGCGGGGAAGGGGGGCAGCGGAGCGGAGGACGCGACGCGTTGGGGGGGGGGGGGAGCAAAGAGAGAGGGATGGGGAGAGGGAAGAGAGAGAGAGAGAGGAGAACGGGTGGGGGGGGGGGGGGGGGGGGGGAGGGACGGAGTCTGTTTTCATAGTGGGCGGGGAGAGGGGAGGGACTCAGAGTGGGGGGTGGGCGCACAGAGGTCACGTGATTCACGGCAGGCTTGAGCTGATCTCGAGAGAGTCTGTAACGCACTGCAATTCTCGTTCACACTTCGAGAGAGGGAGAGAGAATGAGTCAGTGAGAAAGGGAATGATTCAGAGGGAGAGTGAATGATTCAGAGGGAGATGGAATGATTCAGAGAGGGAGAGAATGATTCAGAGAGAGATGGAATGAGTCAGAGAAGGAGAGAATGAGTCAGTGAGAGAGATGGAATAATTCAGAGGGAGAGAGAATGATTCAGAGAGAGAGAGTGAATGAGTCAGAAGGAGAGAGAATGATTCAGAGAGAGTGAATGAGTCAGAGAGGGAGAGAATGATTCAGAGAGAGATGGAATGATTCAGAGAGAGAGTGAATGATTCAGAGAGAGAGGCAATGATTCGGAGAGAGAGTGAATGGTTCAGAGAGGGAGGGAATGATTCAGAGAGGGAATGCTTAAGAGAGCGGATTATTCGGAGGGAGAAGGAATCATTTGGAGAGGGTGAGAGAAAATCATGAGGCGCGGTAAATCCCAGACAAGCGGGAAGGCAGCCAGAACCGGCGCCCACCAACAATTTCCCAAGCTCTGCGGTCCTACATTGGGATGCCTGGCCAACTGAATGAACACCGCGTGTGAATGCGCAGTGTCGCAGACACCAGAAACAGCGAGGAATCCCCACGCGCTTGACGTGGAGGGCCACACTCGTTCCCCCCTGCAGCTGGAACTGAACCCAGACTCAGGATATGCATTTATCCCGGAGAAATCCGATGACCTATGAAGCTCTTTTTTTCACAGATGTCCGGGAGGGGCACGTGGTCAGAACGTTGCAACAAACAAACAATACAAACAACACGATCGGAGTGCAAAGTATAGGAAAGTTAAACAAATCACTTTTGGAAAAAATATACAACTAAACTCTTTTTTTAAAATCTTACCAGGCAAAGTCCACTGAGCGATTAGTTTATTTTTCATAAGCGACCGGGCCACCGTGGACCTCCTGCATACCCAGCGAGGTAGTTAACATCTCGCCACACATCCATTTGCCAAATCACTGGTGGATTAATGGCTCCTCTCAACGCCGTGCGGGTCGTGGTTGAGGGTTGTTTGACCATACTTCACCACACGGGTCAACGCCGGGCTTGGTTGAAGGCGGCGCCATGGAGGTGCAGTCCAACAGCGGACTTACTTGTTCTATTCTTTGGTTATTTCGGTAAAGTTACGTAGATAGAAAATAATAAAATACAAATAATACATTTAACAAATTGAATAAAAACCGCAAGGCAAATTTTATTTCATTTAATTATTTTTATTATTTTTCTTTTATTATTTTCTACCTACGTGACTTTATCGAAAGAACCAAAGAATATTAATTCCTGCAGTCACGAAAGTTTACATATACAGATACAGAAACAAAGATCCCCCGTATCGCCTTAACAGACTGTTGGGGCAAGTGCTGTTAGCGAGCACCTATGAAGGCCGACACGGCACACGAGGGGGTGGGTGGCCACCACCACGCCCGGCCGCCTTTGTCTCCCGAGTGGCGATGTTTACTACACACCGCACCAGGCACTCATTTGAGGCTGAGTTGACCTAGGGGAGGCCCAGGACTGGTTCAGACAATCGCCACCGGTGTTGGACCGTGAGCGGGAATCGAACCCGGGTTCGCCGCGTGATTGTAGCCGCGCGGTGCGCTAACCACTGCGCCACACCTCGCCACTACATACCAGACAGACGAACAACACGCATACACATACACGCATACACACACACGCACACACACGCAAACACACGCACACACACGCACACACACACACACGCACACACACGCACACACACGCAAACACACGCACACACACGCACGCACACACGCACACACGCACACACACGCAAACACACGCACACACACGCACGCACACACGCACACACACGCACGCACACACGCACACACACACACGCACACACACACGCACGCGCACACACACACGCACGCACACACACGCACAGCCACGTTTCCTGCGAGAGGTTTACGGAAAAAAAATCTCACTAATCCCAACCACCGCCACCACTCGAATTTCGGAGAACCCTCCCATCCCAGCAGGCAGCGAGAGGTGACGTGGGTGGGTTTAAGAGAACGACGGGGGAGAGTGGGGGGGGGAGAAGGGTGGGAGGGAGAGTGGGGGGGGGAGAGTGGGGGGAGGGAGAGTGGGGGAGGGAGAGTGGGGGGGAGGGGGAGTGGGGGAGGGAGACTGGGGGGGGGGGAAGAAGGGGTGGGAGGGAGAGTGGGGGGGGAGAAGGGGTGGGAGGGAGAATGGGGGGGGGGGGGAGAAGGGTGGGAGGGAGAAGGGTGGGAGGGAGAGTGGGGGGGGGGAGAAGGGTGGGAGGGAGAGTGGGAGGGAGAGTGGGGGGGAGAGAAGAGGGGCAGGTAGAGTGGGGGGGGAGAAGGGTGGGAGGGAGAGTGGGGGGGGGGGAGAAGGGTGGGAGGGAGAAGGGTAGGAGGGAGAGTGGGGGGGAGAAGGGTGGGAGGGAGAGTGGGGGGGGGAGGGAGAGTGGGGGGGGAGAAGAGGGGGAGGGAGAGTGGGGGAGCGGGAGAAGGGAGGGAGAGTGGGGGGGGGAGTGGGGGGAGGGAGAAGGGGGGGAGGGAGAAGGGTGGGAGGGAGAAGGGGGGGTGGGAGGGAGAGTGGGGGGGGAGAAGGGTGGGAGGGAGTGTGGGAGGGAGGGAGAAGGGTGGGAGGGAGAAGGGTGGGAGGGAGAAGGGGGGGTGGGAGGGAGAAGGGTGGGAGGGAGAAGGGTGGGAGGGAGAGTGGGGGGGAGGGAGAAGGGTGGGAGGGAGAAGGGGGGAGAAGGGTGGGAGGGAGAAGGGGGGAGAAGGGTGGGACGGTTCCTGTGTTGTGTTCGACGTCCGTAGCCACCCGTGCATCACAATCGGTGAGAGGTGCGTGGGGAAGGACGACCCGAGGGCGTGCAGTGAACATCGCCGCTGGGGAGACGAAAGCGGCCGGGGTCGTGGTGCTGGCCACCCACCACCACCACCACCTCGCGTGCCGCGCCACTCGCTAACAGCACTTGCCTCAACAGCCTGCTAAGGCTACACGTGTGGGGGGGGGGGGGGGTGGTGGTGTTCGTCTGTGCTGCGTCAACAGCATCCGCACAGAGGCACGCGCGCTGCTGTCTGTGCGCGCGCGTGCGCGTCGCGTGAACAGCACCGGGCACGCGCGGGAGTCGCGCCCAGCGTTGTTCACGGGCGCGTGTTGGCGTGCAGGGCTGGCGAGGGCCGCCTCCGTGGAGGGAACCCTGTGCCTCTGGAGGCGAGTCGAGCCGGGGGTGAGCCGAGGCCCCGAACCATTCGTGCCGGCTTGAGACGCACGAGGGTCGAGTTGATAAGGGGGTCCCGGGCGGCGAGCTGAGCGTACCGGGGACACGTTGGAGGGCGCCGTGCCATGCTCAGCACGGTGCGCCAGGGCGTCCGCTGGTCCCTGCCGGGCGCATTCTGCCCAGCGGCTCAGCACAGAGCCCACGGTCACCCGCCGGAGGAGCTCAGAGCCGGCGGCAGGGATGTCCGGCCGGAGGAGAAGATGATGGTGGGAGCTGCGGCAGTAGAGGCTGGTGGTGGTGCCGGTGGTGGATCGACGGAGGCGGGCAGTAGCAGCAGGAGGCAAGGCGTCAAGAGGCACCGCCACAAGCACAACCTCAAGCACCGCTACGAGCTGGAGGAGACCCTGGGCAGGGGCACGTACGGCAAGGTGAAGAGGGCGGTGGAGAGGGCGACGGGACGCAAGGTGAGGAGCAAGCACGGGGCAACGGGCCGCCCGTGTAGCCTCGAACAGACCCTTGTGGGGGCAAGTGCTGTCTGCGTGTGTCGACGTCCAGGGGTGTGTGCGCCGAGTCGAGCTCTCTTTGCAAGGGCCACTCGAGCAGCAGCAGCTGTGCAGGCCGGCACACGAAGGGGGGCGGGCGGGGTGGCCAGCACCACGACCGGGCCGCCTTTGTCTCACCAGCCATTAGCTTTCTTCACAAATGACAGCTCAGCGAGGCGGCTTGTCACGTGGACATTCAAAGCAGCGCACTCATACGAACAATCTGAAAGGCGCCTTTCTGAATGCGAACTCCATCGCAGCGTTTGGAGTTCGAATCCTCGTCGTTTTGTGGCGGTGTTGTTGTTGACTCAGCCCATCATCAGCCCTCCTCTCCGGGGGAGAGTCAGTGATATGAACGTATCTTTGTCCCCCGCCGTGTCAGCGTTCACGGGCTGGTGGGATGAAGCATCAGGAAGTCACTGAGAGTTTAACACCGAGGAAGAGGAGAAGGCTTTCGCCACCAACGTCATCCATAATAGAGGTTTTTGTTTGGGGTTAGAACGCGTAAATATGTAAATGTGTCGTCAAACCCGCCACCACCCGACACAGCCAACTAGTAAAGTTTGTCACGTAAAGAGAACGTGGCCAATTCGTCACGAGTAGAGCCACACACCGGTATGTTGGAGAGCCAAGCCACGAGATTTACAATCTGAGCACCACGTTTCGTGGCCGGGTGTTAACGACACATCTATATATATTTACGCGCTGTCACCCACACACCTCTATTGTGGAGTCACTGAGAGTGTCTGTTGTCTGTCGAGAGAGAGAGACATCAAGAGTGTCGTAGGCTGCCGGTGAGGTTTCCACTTCTGCTTGGGGACAGATTTCGGCAGAGGGTAGCCTCCATGAGCTACGTGCCGTGTGCTGTGTGGCCCTGAGATCGGATCGGTGTAATTGCGTCTCTGTTTGTTTCTGGGCACATTACAAAAAGCAAAGACAAAGATCCCCCCCCCCCCCCCCCCCCCGTATAGCCCTGGCAGACTGTTGAGGCAAGTGCCCTTCCCGAGGGGAAGCTGTGAAGGCCGGAACGGCGCACGAGGAGGTGGTGTGGTCGGTACCACGCCTGGCCGCCTTTGTCTCCCCAGTGCAGCGCGCTAACCGCTGTGCTATCTCTCCCCCATGCACACACTGACAAATACACACACTCACAAATACACACGCTCACGAATACACACACTCACAAACACACACTGACAAACACACACTTACAAACACACACACACTCACAAACACTCACAAATACACACACTCACGAATACCCACACTCACAAACACACACTGACAAACACACACACTTACAAATACACACACACTCTCACTCACAAACACACACTTACAAACACACACTAACAAACACACACACTTACAAACACACTCACATATACACACACTGACAAACACACACTCACAGATACACACACAAACACACACTGACAAACACACACACTTACAAACACACACACACTCACTCACAAACACACACACTGACAAACACACACACTGACGAACACCCACACTCACAAATACACTACTTACAAACACGCACTCACAAATACACACACTCACAAACACACACTGACAAACACACACTCACAAACACACACACTTACAAACACACTCACATATACACACACTGACAAACACACACTGACAAACACACACTCACAAATACACACACTTACAAACACACACACACTCACTCACAAACACACAGACACACTCACAACGACACATACACACAAACTCACAAACACACACACTTACACACACACTCACAAAACACATACTTACAAATACAACAACAACCGCCATTCGCCACTAAGTGGCGGTGACGTCACCACGACGCTTGTGCCAGGCTATGTGCACCCTGAGGCCACGTGAAGTGTCGAACGCCCGCTGGCAGGAGGTCACGGGGCAGACCCAGGTGGCACGGGTCGACTGACTGAGATGACTGGCTGATGCACCACCTGTGCCCCCTATTGTGCCAGCCTGCTGTGCTTTAGCCACCCGGCGCTCCGCTCGTTGTTGTGAGCGTCGCTCCTCCGCTCTCCGTTGTTGTTGGAGGGCGACTGCCTCCAATTGCCCAGTAGCAGCGTCCTTCACGAGCCTCCTCCACAGAGGCCGATCTTGACACCGCTGGTACCAGTCATCGGCAAGTCCACTCAGCTCCACGTCCTCCTGTACCACATCACTCCATCTCTTCTCTAGCCCGTGCCGCGCCCGTTTAGCCCCCTCGATCCGGCCGAACAAAAGCTGTTTCGGCATGCGGTGGCTGGGCATGCGGGCTACATGACCCAGCCAACGCAGCCTTGCCTGCCGGAGGAGCTCACCGATGGGACCTTGCCCAGATCTTTCAAGGATTTGTGAGCTCCTCACACAATCCAGCCTGGTTAAACCCAGGATGGATCGTAGGCAGACTAGCCTAAATGTTTCTAACCGGCGAAGATGTTCCATTAGGTGGGTCCACGTTTCGCAAGCGTAGATAAGGGAGGGAATGACTGTGGTCGAGAAGACCTGAAGCTTAGTGCGGAGCGACAGACCAGGTAGCTTCCACACAGCGTTACGCAACCGATGAAAAGATATTTCCGCTCGACTGATTCGGAGTGAGACCTCGGCTGTTAAACTGGAGCCGGTCATAAGCACACTGCCCAGGTATGGGAAACTCTCCACTCTCTCCACAACTGCCCCATCACCGATTGCGAGTTATGGGGGTGGAGTGTCTGATGGTACAAACACACACTCACAAACACACATACTCACAAACACACACACTTACAAACACACTCACAAACACACACTCACAAATACACACACTAACTCACAAACACACACTCACAACGACACATACACACACTCACAAACACACACACTTACAAACACACACTCACACCACCACTCACAAACATGGTGAAGATGACTGTGGTGGTGATGGTGGCGGTGAAGATGACTGTGGTGGTGGTGGTGATGGTGAAGATGGCTGTGGTGTTGGTGGTGGTGGCGGTGAAGATGACTGTGGTGGTGGTGGTGGTGATGGTGAAGATGACTGTGGTGGTGGTGATGGTGAAGATGAGTATGGTGGTGGTGAAGATGACTGTGGTGATGGTGAGGATGACTGTGGTGGTGAAGATGACTGTGGTGATGGTGATGGTGAAGATGACTGTGGTAGTGGTGGTGATGGTGGTAGTGGTGATGGTGAAGATGACTGTGGTAGTGGTGGTGATGGTGATGGTGGTGATGGTGAAGATGACTGTGGTAGTGGTGGTGATGGTGGTAGTGGTGATGGTGAAGATGACTGTGGTGGTGAAGATGACTGTGGTGATGGTGATGGTGAAGATGACTGTGGTGGTGGTGATGGTGAAGATGACTATGGTGGTGGTGCTGGTGAAGATAACTGTGGTGATGGTGATGGTGAAGATGACTGTGGTGATGGTGAAGATGACTGTGGTGATGGTGCTGGTGAAGATGACTGTGGTGATGGTGAAGATGACTGTGGTTAGCGGGCTGCGTCACGACCACCAACGCCGGTGACAGCGGAATTCTGGACCCGGCCGTGGGCCTCCTCCCCCTTACATCAAATCAACCTCGAATGAGCACCTGGTGTGGTGTGTAAACATGAGCACTCGGAGGAGAGACAAAGACGGCCGGGCGTGGTGCTGGCCACCCACCCCTCGCGTGCCGGTGCCGGGCTTCATCGGTGCTACTCGCTAACAGCACTTGCCCCAACAGTCCGTGAAAGCTACACGGGGGATCTTTGGCTTTGTACGCGTGTGTGTGTGTCTGTGTGTGTGTGTGAGTGTGGGGAGCGGTGGTGTAGAGGTTAGCGCGCTGCGCTCTCGCTACGAGTTCGATTCCCGCTCACGGCCGACATCACCGGTGACGATTATCTGGACCGACTCCTGGGCCTCCCCTAGGTCGACTCAGCCTCAAATGGGTATCTGGGTGCGATGCGTGAACATCGCCACTGGGGTAGACAAAGGCGGTCGGGCGTGGTGCTGGCCACCCACGTGTGCCGTGCCGGCCTTCGTAGGTGCTACTCGCTAAGAGCACTTGCCCCGACAGTCCGTGAAGGCTATACGGGGGGATCTTTTTCTTTGTATTTGTGTGTGTTTGTATGCGTGCCAGCTTAACAAACGGTGGGTCAAAATGTCCCGACAGGAATCTAAACGGACGATGATGCTTCTTGAAGCGTCTCTTCTCTCGCTCTCTCTGCACGTGGCAAATCGAAGTCAGAGAGCTCCTTCTGCTCCTCCTCCTCCTCACTAGCCACGAATCCTAACCACAGACCGTTGTTGGGAGTGAGATCGCGTCAATATATAAACGCGTCGTTCAACCCGCCACCACCCGACGCAGCCAATCGGTGAGGTTTGTCACGTGAACAGAACGTGGCCAATTCGTTACTGGCTCAGCGCCACACCGGTTGTGTGTCGGAGAGCAAATCCACAGACATTTACAACGTCTCGCCGGTAATTGCAACCAGCATCATCAGGTGACAGCCAGATGAGCTGCTGCTGCTGCTGCTGCTGCTGCCAATGGGACACTGAATGTCTAGAGGGGTCGTGAGCTTCGCTTGTGAAGTATAGAGTATTTTAAAGTGTCATTGCGCCGGTACGGCACTCACAGAATGGAGGGCGCGTGTGTCCCCGCGCGCGGGACGCACTGCTGGTGAGCGTGCCACCTGGTGAGCCTCGCCCCAGCAGCCCCCTGCTGCCACCGCTGCCTCGCTCGGGGGGATCCGTCGGCACGGCTCGCCCACGTCGCGCATCCGACCCGCCGCGTGCCGGGGGCCGCCCCGGCCGCCCCGTCCGGCCGGCCGAGCGGCCGCACCGCGCGCTGCCAAGCGGAGATGCCCCAGCGTCACGGCGCGGCATCTCCCGTCGCGTAGAATATCCGCTGTCGCTGAGAGGCGGGCGTCGTGGGAGGGGAGCGCGCCGACGAGAGAACGCGACCCAGGCGTGCGTGCGTGCGTGGAGCGGCGGCGAGGCGGTCGGCGCACCGCCACGCTACGAACCCGGCGAGCCGGTTTCCCGGGCCTCCACCCCCTAGGTCGACTCAACAACGATCCTCGTCGTTTTGTGGTTGTGGTGGCGTTGTTGACTCAGCCCATCATCCATCCATCCATCCCCTCCGGGGGGTGTGGGTCGATAAAGTCGGCATCGCTTTGTGGATAATTTGAACAACCGCGGTTGTCCCCGTGATTATATCCGTGCTCGCCCCCGCCGTGGGAACGTGGAATTTCCACCACCACTGTGTCCTGCAGGGATGTGCACCCGTGTAACGACAGGTCCGGACGTTTCGCTGGTAGTCGCAGCCAGCAGCAGCAGCAGCATCAGGCAATCGCCACATCGATGACACCGATTTCAGGCCCAAGTCCAGACCCGATGGTTAATCGTGAACGGTGTGCTGCCCTCTAGGATCACACCACCGGTGATGTGCTGCCCTCCAGGAACACACCACCGGTGATGTGCTGCCCTCTAGGATCACACCACCTGTGGTGTGCTGCCCTCTAGGAACACCCCACCGGTGATGTGCTGCCCTCTAGGAACACACCACCGGTGGTGTGCTGCCCTCTAGGAACACCCCACTGGTGATGTGCTGCCCTCTAGGAACACACCACCGGTGATGTGCTGCCCTCTAGGAACACCCCACCAGTGATGTGCTGCCCTCTAGGAACACACCACCGGTGGTGTGCTGCCCTCTAGGAACACACCACCGGTGGTGTGCTGCCCTCTAGGAACACACCACCGGTGGTGTGCTGCTCTCTAGGAACACACCACAGGTGGTGTGCTGCCCTCTAGGAACACACCACAGGTGATGTGCTGCCCTCTAGGAACACACCACAGGTGGTGTGCTGCCCTCTAGGAACACACCACCGGTGGTGTGCTGCCCTCTAGGAACACACCACCGGTGGTGTGCTGTCTAGGAACACACCACCGGTGGTGTGCTGTCTAGGAACACACCACAGGTGGTGTGCTGTCTAGGAACACACCACAGGTGGTGTGCTGCCCTCTAGGAACACACCACCGGTGGTGTGCTGCCCTCTAGGAACACACCACAGGTGGTGTGCTGTCTAGGAACACACCACATGTGGTGTGCTGTCTAGGAACACACCACCGGTGGTGTGCTGCCCTCTAGGGACACACAACAGGTGGTGTGCTGTCTAGGAACACACCACATGTGGTGTGCTGCCCTCTAGGAACACACCACAGGTGGTGTGCTGCCCTCTAGGAACACCCCACCGGTGGTGTGCTGTCTAGGAACACACCACATGTGGTGTGCTGTCTAGGAACACACCACAGGTGGTGTGCTGCCCTCTAGGAACACACCACAGGTGGTGCTCTCTCTAGCAACACACCACAGGTGATGTGTTCCTAGAGGGCAGCACACCACAGGTGGTGTGCTGCCCTCTAGGAACACACCACCGGTGATGTGCTGCTAGAGCACTCACAAACGGGGCCGTGTTTGCTCATCACGTGACCACCGTATTTAATTATAATTATCCGTGCCGGGTGGAGGAGGGTGCGTACGACACAGCATATCTCACAAGGCGTTCTGACCCACTCCCACCGCTCCCCTCCATCAAAAAAAAATCATCATTATGAATGAAGCGAAGTGTTTGTGTTTAACAAGAAAAAAAAAACGTGAGCTGTGTACAAAATAAAAAAAAACATTTTGCAACTCGACACGTTTCCTAGATTAGATCCGGGATTTAAATAGCCCGGCCGAACAAGGCCCCGTTCAGCCGGGCAATTCCATTGAGAATGAATGCTGCAGAGCTTTCGCAATCCGTACACTTGATGAGGATACAACGACGGATGTTAAATGGCTAGTTTTGATTGACTCGAATCCTGTTGGGTCATCCAAATTGGATCACTGACATCGCATGATTCGCGTTGGATCATTGGCAATGGCTTCTTCACATTGTATCATTCACATTGTATCACTGATATTGGATTATTGATACTGGAACAACCGTATTTAAATCAGTCTCAGTGCATCATTGACATTGTTTCATTGACATTGAGTCATTGACATTAGAGCATTCACATTGGATCATTCATGTTGGATCGTCTCTGCAGTGCCGATGTTTAAACACCGCACCAGATACAGTACAGTACTAATGTAAGGCCCACTCGACCTAGGGGAGGCCAAATTATTGGTGATGAGTGGGAATGGAACATGAGTGCGTTAACTATTGCGCCACCGCTCCACACACACACACAAAGGTCCCCCGTTTAGCCTTAACATATGTTTGAGGCAAGTGCTGTCTTAAAGGCCGGCATGGCACAAGAGGGGGTGGGTGACCAGCACCACACCCGATCACCTTTGTCTCCCTAGAAGCGATGTTTATACGTTGTCCTTTTGAGGCTGAGTCGACCCAGGGGGAGGCCCATGACTGATTCAGATAATCACCACTGGTGTTCGTCGTGAGCGGGAATCGAATTCGAGTTGCCTGGTTCGTCGCACAGTGGACGAACTGCTGCTACATGGCCACTCTCCACCACTCATTGACTCGCCCACTCACTCAACCACTAACTCACTAACTCACCCACTCACTCACTCGCCCACCCACACACCCACTCACTCACCCACTTACTCAACCACTCACTCACTAACTTACCCACTCACTCGCCCACCCACACACCCACTCACTCATCAATTCACCCATACATCCGTTTCACTCACCTGCTCACTCACTCACCCGCCCACTCACTCACCCACTCACTCACTCGCCCACCCACTTAATCGCCCACTCACTCACCCGCTCACTCACCCACCCACCCACTCACTCATCCACCCACTCACTCACCCAATCACTCACTCACCCACTCACTCACCCACCCACTCACTCACCCACTCACTCACTCACCCACTCACCCACCCACTCACTCACCCACTCACTCGCTCACTCACTCACTCACTCGCCCAATCACTCACCCACCCACTCACTTGCTCGCTCACCCACTCGCTCACTGCGGGTGAGTTAGAGAGCGACCCTCACAGTCAGATTTGGCAGCCATCATATACCGCGGAGTTTCGCTTGAGACTGGGTCAAACGTAATTGGAACAATATCCATATAGTCAGAACGACAACACAGACAGTAGTCTCTGCCTCTGTTTGCAATTCACACATACACCCTGAGACTCAAACAGAAACCCACAGACTCACACAGAGACCCACAGACTATCACAGAAACCTATAGACTCTCACAGAAACCTATAGACTCGCACAGAGAGATTCATGGACTCACACAGCAACTAATAGACTCACACATATATCCATAGACTCACACAAAGACCCACAGACTCACACAGAGATCCATAGACTCTCACAGAAACCCATAGACTCACAACGAGACCCACAGACTCACACAGACCCATAACTAAAGTAGAGGCCTATGAGGTGGATGATATCTCTGTTTACAATCCACGCGCTCGCTGTCCGTGCAGCGTCTGGAGATGCGGTCACATCCACTACAACCCCCGTCTCTCTCTCTCTCTCGCTCTATTCCTTCACAGCTTTTCAGAGGAAATAATCCGATTTTTGTGGAAGATACAGTCGAGCATTTGCTGCCACATTTGAACCGGTCATAATGACCGTACCAAGCAATGTGTGTGATCGCTGAGTGTGGCTGTGAGGGTCGCTCTCCAACTCACGCGCGGTCAGCGAGTGAGTTTGGTGGGTGGGTGAGTGAGTGGGCGAATGAATGGGTGGGTGTGTTGTTGAGTGGGTGGGTGAGTTGGTGAGTGGGTGGGTGAGTTGATGATTGGGTAAATGAGTTGGTGAGTGAGTTAGTGGGTGAGTGGGTGGGTGAGTGGGTGAATGAGTTAATGAGTATGTGGGTTAGTGGGTGGCTGGGTGAGTGAATTGGTGGGTGGGTGAGTGAGTTGTTGAGTGGGTGAGTGAGTGGCTGAGTGGGTGGTTGAATGAGTGAGTGGGTGAATGAGTGAGTGGGTTAGTGGTTGGCTGGGTGAGTGAGTTGGTGGTTGGGTGAGTGAGTTGTTGAGTGGGTGGGTAGGTGAGTGAGTGGGTGAATGAGTGAGTAGGTTAGTGGGTGGCTGGGTGAGTGAGTGGGTGAATGAGTGAGTGGGTGAGTGGGTGGATGGGTGAGTGAATTGGTGGGTGGGTGAGTGAGTTGTTGAGTGGGTGAGTGAGTGGGTGAGTGGGTGAATGAGTGAGTGGGTGAATGAGTGAGTGGGTTAGTGGTTGGCTGGGTGAGTGAGTTGGTGGTTGGGTGAGTGAGTTGTTGAGTGGGTGGGTAGGTGAGTGAGTGGGTGAATGAGAGAGTGGGTTAGTGGGTGGCTGGGTGAGTGAGTTGGTGGGTGGGTGAGTGAATTGTTGAGTGGGTGGGTGAGTTGGTGAGGGGGTGAGTTGGTGAGTGGGTGAGTGAGTTGGTGAGTGAGTGGGTGAGTGGATGAGTGGGTGAGTGGGTGAGTTAGTGAGTGGCTGGGTATGTCGAGCTGAAACAACGCTGACAACAATCAGGCGCTTGTTTTGGCTCCAGTCGGGTGGTGGAGGGCTCTCCTTGACGACACAATAACACCGGAGCGTTGCTGGGCGCAGGCCTACCACGTGCTGAGCGGTGCTGTGAATCGTTGCAGGTTGCCATCAAGTTCATCAGCAAAGAGAGGATCAAGAACGAGAAGGACATGTGTCAGATCCGCCGCGAGATCGAGATCATGTCGTCCCTCCACCACCCGCACATCGTCAGCATCTTCGAAGGTCGGTCCTACACGCCGCTGGAAAACCCACGCGATCACCATGACGACGATCACCATGACGACGATCACCATCATCATCATCAGCAGCGGATGATGGTTTGCTATGCTCGCATCGCATAGCAACACAGCCCGACAGGGCACCCCCCCCTCCCCCCCAAGTGGCAGCTGTCCCTGGCGAACAAAAACAAAAACAAAGATCCCCCGTGTAGCCTTCGCAGACTGTAGGGGCAAGTGCTGTTAGCGAGCAACTATGAAGGCCGGAACGGCACATGAGGGGGCGGGTGGCCAGCAAGCACGCCAGGCCGCCTTTTTGAGGCTGAGTCGACCTAGGGGAGGCCCACGATCGGCTCGGACAGTCGCGCAGACGTGCGCCGTGGCGTCACTACCCACGCACGTGCGCGTCAGCCAGACAGGCAGCCAGGCAGGAATCCAGGCAGGAAGCCAGCCAGAAAGAAAAAAATAAAAACACTTTTAAAGAAAAAATACGATCACAATCAGCTGTAAAAGGCAAAACAGAGAACTCAAACTAATAAAAGGGGGAGACAGTAAAAACCTAAAATAGAGAAATTAAAACGTGGGCACGAGGAGACAGAGGGCACTTGGGGCGGCGGGGAATGTTTGTGCCTGACGGCACGGAGGGGCCTGGGTTCGAGCACCGACTCGGGCGCCTTTCTGTGTGGAGTTTGTGTGTTCCACAGAGTGTGTGTGTGAGAGAGAGTGTGTGTGTGTGAGTGTGTGTGTGAGTGTGTGTGAGAGTGTGTGTGAGTGTGTGTGTGAGTGTGTGTGTGAGAGTGTGCGTGAGTGTGTGTGAGAGTGTGTGTGAGAGTGTGTGTGAGAGAGTGTGTGAGTGTGTGAGAGTGTGTGAGAGTGTGTGTGAGAGTGTGTGTGTGTGAGAGTGTGTGTGAGAGTGTGTGTGAGTGTGTGTGAGAGTGTGTGAGTGTGTGTGAGAGTGTGTGTGAGTGTGTGTGTGAGTGTGTGTGAGAGTGTGTGAGTGTGTGTGAGAGTGTGTGTGAGTGTGTGTGTGAGTGTGTGTGTATGTGAGAGTGTGTGTGAGAGTGTGTGTGAGAGTGTGTGAGAGTGTGTGTGAGAGTGTGTGTGAGAGTGTGTGTGAGAGTGTGTGTGAGAGTGTGTGTGAGAGTGTGTTCCACAGAGTGTGTGTGTGTGAGTGTGTGTGTGAGAGTGTGTGAGAGTGTGTGTGAGTGTGTGTGAGTGTGTGTGTGAGTGTGTGTGTGTGAGTGTGTGTGAGTGTGTGTGTGAGAGTGTGTGTGTGTGTGTGAGTGTGTGTGAGTGTGTGTGTGAGAGTGTGTGTGTGAGTGTGAGAGTGTGTGTGAGTGTGTGTGTGAGTGTGTGTGTGAGTGTGTGTGTGAGTGTGTGTGAGAGTGTGTGTGACTTGCCGATGACTGGTACCAGCGGTGTCAAGATCGGCCTCTGTGGAGGAGGCTCGTGAAGGATGCTACTGGGCAGTTGGAGGTAGTCGCCCTCCAACAACAACGGAGGGCGGAGGAGCGACGCTCACAACAACGAGCGGAGCGCCGGGTGGCCAAAGCACAGCAGGTTGGCACAGTAGGGGGCACAGGTGGTGCATCAGCCAGTCATCTCAGTCAGTCGACCCGTGGCACCTGGGTCTGCCCCGTGACCTCTTGCCAGCGGGCGTTCGACACTTCACGTGGCCTCAGGGTGCACATAGCCTGGCACAAGCGTCGTGGTGACGTCACCGCCACTTAGTGGCGAATGGCGGTTGTTGTTGTTGTTGAGAGTGTGTGTGAGAGTGTGTGTGAGAGTGTGTGTGAGTGTGTGTGAGGGTTTGTGTGTTCCACAGAGTGTGTGTGTGAGTGTGTAGGGGAAAAAACGGTGATCCAATCTCCGACCCCCAGGAACAGGTTTGCAGATTTTGCTGAGCATTTCTGTGAGATCCTGGGGGAGGGAAAATCCCTCAGCCAGGAAAACATCGTGGCACAAAGTGGGGATGACCCTGCTGAGGCTGCAGTGCCTCAAAAATTTGAAGAAGTCACCCACTGTGAGTGACTGGCTGAGGTGCTATCTGTTGAGGAAGTACTGAAGGCGATCCGGAGTCTGAGACCAGGAAAGGCAGCGGGCAGAGATGATCTCCCAAGCGAAATGCTGAGGGAGGGTGGCGTTTGTTTACAGACTGCCCTATATGACATCATATCAACAGTCTGGACCACTGGACGGGTTCCGCAGGATTGGAAGGATGCCCTGGTGGTCCCCCTCTTTAAAAAAGGCGACCGCACAGACTGTAACAACTACAGGGGCATCTCATTCCTCAGTGTGCCAGGAAAGGTCCTGGCAAGGATTATTCAACATCGCCTTGCCAGGCACGCTGAGGAGGGGCTTGCGGAGCCCCAATGCGGTTTCAGGAAAGGGCGGTCCTGCACAGATGCCATATTTTCTGTCCGTCTGCTACAGCAGAGGTGTAGGGAATTCCAGCAAGACCTACATCTCTGCTTTATTGACCTGGTTAAGGCCTATGATACCATCAGTAGGCCTGGGCTCTGGGTTGTTGTTCGTGCTTTTGGAGTACCTGACCCTCTGCTCACGATCATTAAGGACCTTCATGATGGTGAACGGGCCCGGGAAAAACTACGTGGCCGGGAGTCAGAGCCGTTCCCTGTACACCTTGGAGTGCGACAGGGATGTCCTCTGGCTCCCACATTATTTAACATCTACTTTGACCATGTAGTTCGTGAAGCCTTCAATAGCTGTACCGGGGGAATCTCCATTTGATACAGATATAATGGGAGGCTGATCGATGCCCAGGTGCGGTCAAGGGATGGCTCCCTATTGCTCAACCACATTATGTATGCCGATGATTTGGTAATAGCTGCTTATTCAGAGGAGGAGTTGGAAACGCTGCTGCTGAGACTGGAGCATGCCACTAAGAGATGGGGCCTTACCATCAGCCCCACCAAAACGAAGCATCTGCCTGGGTATTATGTACCATCGGACACTCCACCCCCACAACTCCCAATCGGTGATGGGGAAGTTGTGGAGAGAGTGGAGAGTTTCCCATACCTGGGCAGTGTACTTATGACCGGCTCCAGTTTAACAGCAGAGGTCTCACTCCGAATCAGTCGAGCGGCAATATCTTTCCATCAGTTGCGTAACGCTGTGTGGAAGCTACCTGGTCTGTCGCCCCGCACTAAGCTTCAGGTCTTCTCGGCCACGGTCATTCCCTCCCTTCTCTACGCTTGCGAAACGTGGACCCCCCTAATGGAACATCTTCGCCGGTTAGAAATATTTAGGCTAGCCTGCCTACGGCCCATCCTGGGTTTAACCAGGCTGGATTGTGTGAGGAGCTCAGAAATCCTTGAAAGATCTGGGCAAGGTCCCATCGGTGAGCTCCTCCGGCAGGCAAGGCTGCGTTGGCTGGGTCATGTAGCCCGCATGCCCAGCCACCGCATGCCGAAACAGCTTTTGTTCAGCCGGATCGAGGGGGCTAAACGGGCGCAGCACGGGCTAGAGAAGAGATGGAGTGACGTTGTACAGGAGGACGTGGAGCTGAGTGGACTTGCGGATGACTGATACCAGCGGTGTCAAGATCGGCCTCTGTGGAGGAGGCTTGTGAAGGACGCTACTGGGCAGTTGGAGGCAGTCGCCCTCCAACAACAACGGAGGGCGGAAGAGCGATGCTCACAACAACGAGCGGAGCGCCGGGTGGCTAAAGCACAGCAGGTTGGCACAGAAGGGGGCACAGGTGGTGCATCAGCCAGCCATCTTAGTCATCTTAGTCAGTCGACCCGTGGCACTTGGTTTGCCCCGTGACCTCCTGCCAGCGGGCGTTCGACACTTCACGTGGCCTCAAGGTGCACATGGCCTGGCACAAGCGTCGTGGTAACGTCACCGCCACTTAGTGGCGAATGGCGGTTGTTGTTAGTGTGCGTGTGATAGTGTGAGTGTGTGTGAGTGAGTGTGAGAGTGTGAGAGTGTGTGAGTGTGTGAGAGTGTGAGTGTGTGTGAGTGTGTGAGAGTGTGTGTGAGAGTGTGTGAGAGTGTGTGTGAGTGTGTGCTGTTGTTAGCGAGCACCTATGAAGACCGTCACGGCACACGATGGGGTGGATGGCCAGCACCACGCCCGGCCACCTTTGCCTCTCCAGTGGCGATGTTTACACATCGCACCAGGTACTCATTTGAGGCCGAGTCAACCTAGAGTAGGCCCACGATCGGCTCAGACAATCGTCACCGGTGATGTCGGCCGTGAGCGGGAATCGAACTCGGGTCGCCGGGTTCGGAGCGAAGCGTCGCATTAACCACCACACGACCGCTCCCCACATCATGCATACACATACACACACGCACGCACAGCATCGCACTCAACTTGGCAGGACCCTCTTTAAAAAAAAACGAGTATCGAGACTCGGGCGAGGCTTTGCTGGCAGGGTAAACAATCCGCGGTAACACGACGCGTTGACGTGCAGCAGAGACAAACAAATGGAACTGGATCTACGGGCCGGGCCAGGGAGTTGGGGGGGGGGTTATGGCGAAACGGAATTTGGTTTGGTGAGATTAGTCAACCCATCCCTAGCCTCAATTCCACATTTTAGTTTCGGTCTTTGCAAACAACACCCACCACCACTAACCCCACCCCGCCACAGATATGTTTTTTAGGATATGCACGGTTGATTTTTTTTGGGGTGGTTAGGGTTGCTGGTCTGCCTTTAGTTTGTTGTGCTCCCACCGCAACCTCCGATGAGCACGGTTGGCTACGTGCGGCGCAAAAGAAGTTCAAGTTACAGTACAGCAAATACGTTCGGTTCATGCCACGTCACCCTGACATCACCACGATGTCAGGGTGACAATAATAACTTACTTATCCCTGGATATTGAATGATAGGGAAACAGGCTCGTCGTGGTATCATTAACTATGTTGATTCTGGCTAAACGGCCCCCACGATGTAGCTGCGTAGCCCGAGCTATTGATGCTTTGTTTGCTTGCATGGTCCTTGTACCGTTCACCGTTTTGGTCTATAGCCGTGGCTCTTAACCTGTACTGAAGCCCTCGCATCCCTTTGCTTCTCAATGGTATTTTTGTTAACATGTTGGCAAACACACGGGGTTTGGTGAAACAAAGTAGTTGTGCTCACGTGGCCCGTGCTGAATTTGTTTTTCGACAATTTACATTCTAGAAAAAAAACGTGGCCACGTCTCGCACCCCGAGGTGGTGCAGCGTGCACCCCAGGTGAAGAACCACCGCTGCTTCTTCTTGTTCTTGTTCTTCTTCTTGTTCTTCTTCTTGTTCTTCTTGTTCATCTTGTTCTTCTTCTTCTTCTTGTTCTTCTTGTTCTTGTTCTTCTTGTTCTTCTTCTTCTTGTTCTTCTTGTTCTTGTTCTTCTTCTTCTTCTTGTTCTTCTTGTTCTTGTTCTTCTTGTTCTTCTTGTTCTTCTTGTTCTTGTTCTTCTTGTTCTTCTTCTTGTTCTTCTTCTTGTTCTTCTTGTTCTTCTTCTTGTTCTTCTTGTTCTTCTTGTTCTTCTTCTTGTTCTTCTTGTTCTTCTGGTTCTTCTTCTTGTTCTTGTTCTTCTTGTTCTTGTTCTTGTTCTTCTTCTTTTTCTTCTTGTTGTTCTTCTTGTTCTTGTTGTTCTTCTTCTTGTTCTTCTTCTTGTTCTTCTTGTTGTTGTTGTTCTTCTTGTTCTTGTTCTTCTTGTTCTTGTTCTTCTTGTTCTTTTTGTTCTTGTTCTTCTTCTTGTTCTTCTTGTTCTTGTTCATCTTGTTCTTGTTCTTCTTGTCTTGTTCTTCTTCTTGTTCTTGTTCTTCTTGTTCTTGTTCTTCTTGTTCTTCTTCTTAATCTTCTTCGTCTTCTTCTTCTTGTTCTTTCCCCGTGGGTGGGCGTCGAGGAGGAGCCGTAGCCCTGGCTCTGCCAGGAGAAGGCGCCACAGCACGGTTTGGACTAATCTCCATCTGTCTCATCTGGACGGGGATACAGCGTTGCCCCCTCTCGCGCAAGGCGTGGGAGGTTTTCTCCGGTTGCTCCGGTATCCTCACCCACGTGAACGATACGACTCGCCATTAGTTGGGCTGAAAACATCTGACAGATAAGCACCTCCAATGTAGCGGCAGGACCCTGCAGGATAAATCAGTAAATCATTGAATGATATAAAAAAGAGGCTTTATCCTTTCTGGCATAAATACAGGAGATGCTTTTGATTTCAAGCTTTCGTGACTGCAGGGATTCATATTCTTGGTTCTTTCGGTAAAGTCACGTAGAAGGGAAACAATAAAATAATAAAAAATATAAAACAACATTCTCACGGCGTTTTGCACCTGATGATGATTGCTTGTGTTGCAGTCAAAACGTCGTGAGAATTTAATTGTTTTATATTTTTATTATTTTATTGTTTCCCTTCTACGTGGTGACTTTACCGAGAGAACCAAGAATACAGGAGATGCGTTACGGTGTTCAAGCACCAAATAGACACACCTGTTGCAAGTCATCACGAAGCCTGCATTCACTGCACACGCTTGTGGTAAGAGATGCCAACAAATTCGGTCCGGTAATGCACACACACACACAAAACCGTCCTTGAAACTGCTTGACCTCCACCAGAAGAAGAAGAAGATTTCACAACACCGTCCGTGTGTGATCCACCAACCCTAGCCGGCGCTGGATCGCGACAGGCGGCCACGTGCCACAACGTAGCCACCGCCGCACCGGCCGGTGTAGGGTGGTGGAGGCTCTTACGGCACGCGCAGTCCGGTGCCCAGACAATTACTGAACGTGGCCTGAGTTGGGTCGGTGCAGTTCCGTCTCGACCCTGAACGGAAGACGACTCGCTGGCAGGCTTCCCACGGCAGTGAGAGTCGCCCGGTCAAATGTCCGCCAACTGCCGCTGTTGTCGCGAGCGATCGAGCCCTGCCGAGCGTGACGGCGACTCCGCCTGCCCGCACGCACGCACTCGGCGCAGTTTTGCTGTTGAGGCACCGCGTGGACTCGGCACCTGGCCCAGCGATGCCAGGCGCCCGGGGGTGCGGCCCGCAACGATCGCCGCCTGCCACTATGCGTGGGCACCCCCAGTGGCAGCTGCCCCTGCGTGCCACAAGGTGGACTCAGCACCTGCTGGGTGGCTGGGTGGGCCCTCCCGGGTGGGCCCTCCCTCCCTACCCCAGATCGTGGGAGGGTGGTGCTGTTTGACCATACTTCACCACGCCGGTCGGTGAGGGTTTGGGGTGCGTTACCCATGCAGGGCCCGGCTCGCCGATGTTAGCGACGCAGCAGTTAGGGGTTGTCTGTCATCGCCCTCAGCTGCACAAACAAGTGTGGCCCCGTTAGCAGCCTATAGCAGCTGTTATGCACGGCGGTCGCCAATGCAGGTGGCTATGGGGGCGTCCATAAATGACGTCACGCACCTAGGGGAGGGGGAGGTCAGACATTGTGACGATGTGTGACGAGGGGGGGGGGGGGGGGTTAGACAACACGTTCTACTTAATTAAATATATTTGTAAATAAATGTTTTCTCCTACAACATCAGAGTGCAGCGCCACATTAAATACGCACTACAATGACAATAGTTTAAAGCGATTTGAAGCACGTTTTATTTTCAAAATGGAAATATGTTTTTGGTATGGGGGGGGGAGAGCTTTGTGACGTCATATTTGAGTTGGGGGGGGTGGGTGGTCTGACTTTTTGTGACGCCTTGTGACGAAGGGGAGGGGAGGGGGGTCAAAAATCCTCCAAAGTCGCGTGACGTCATTTATGGACGGCCCCGATCCGGACTCGACGCCTGGCGGGCTTCCGCGTTCCAGGCGAGGTCACGGCCCCCCACCCCCCGTAAGCGTTCTCAGGACACGTGACAGGAGGACTGCTCCGGATTCCACTTCGTTGAGTGTCCCAGCGGCACAGATTTGACCTCCAGAAGCGAATGCCAACAGAAGTCCCGGTTTTCAAAATCATCGTCAGCCATGGTCAATCCACTGCTGGATTAAGAAGGCATTCCCAATCCTTGTCACTGCTATGATACAGCATCACGTGATTGTGCCTGGAGCGTGCACTCTGTGTGCTGTGTGTGTGTACTTACTGTGTGTATGTATGTGTTGTGTGTGTGTACTTACTGTGTGTATGTATGTGTTGTGTTCTGTGTACTTACTGTGTGTATGTACGTGTTGTGTTGTGTGTACTTACTGTGTGTATGTATGTGTTGTGTTCTGTGTGTGTACTTACTGTGTATGTACGTGTTGTGTTGTGTGTGTGTACTTACTGTGTGTATGTATGTGTTGTGTGTGTGTGTGTACTTACTGTGTGTATGTACGTGTTGTGTGTGTGTACTTACTGTGTGTATGTACGTGTTGTGTTGTGTGTGTGTACTTACTGTGTGTATGTACGTGTTGTGTGTGTGTGTACTTACTGTGTGTATGTACGTGTTGTGTGTGTGTGTGTACTTACTGTGTGTATGTACGTGTTGTGTGTGTGTACTTACTGTGTGTATGTACGTGTTGTGTGTGTGTGTACTTACTGTGTGTATGTACGTGTTGTGTTGTGTGTGTGTACTTACTGTGTGTATGTACGTGTTGTGTGTGTGTGTACTTACTGGGTGTATGTACGTGTTGTGTTGTGTGTGTGTGTACTTACTGTGTGTATGTACGTGTTGTGTGTGTGTACTTATTCTCATCTCCCTCCACTCCCCTCCACGCTCTCTCCTACCCCTCTCATCTCACTCCACTCCCCTCCACGCACTCTCCTACCTCTCCCCTCTCATCTCACTCTACTCCCCTCCACGCTCTCTCCTACCTCTCCCCTCTCATCTCACTCCACTCCCCTCCACGCTCTCTCCTACCTCTCCCTCTCATCTTCACTTGCCCTCTCGCCCCCCCAGTGTTCGAGAACAAGGACAAGATGGTGATCGTGATGGAGCTGGCGAGCCACGGGGAGCTCTTTGACTACCTCAACGCCCACCGGCCGCTCCGCGAGACGGAAGCTCGCCGACTCTTCCGTCAGATCGTCTCCGCCGTGCATCACTGCCACAAGGTAACCCCCCCGCCCACCCCTCCTTCCTTCACCTCCCCTCCTTTTTGAACATACTTCACCATCGCCTGCCGAGCGATGGAGTTCAGAATCCTCGTCGTTTCGTTGGCGATGGTGGAGTCGTTCCACAAAGTGATCCTTGTTGCATCGACCGCCAGAGTGGACGATCGGATGGATGATGAGTCGGCGATCGGAATGAGGATCTGTGTATTTATACTGCACGTAGGAATCCGATGAGCTCTGAAGCTCTTCATCACAGACGTCCAGTAGGGGCACGGGCCGAATGACGTCACAACAAACAAACTACACGAAAACCAACACAACGGGAGTGCAAAGTACAAGAGAGTTGAACAAATCACCCCAAAACTCACAAAACAAACGCAACGACAACTCAACCTTCTTTGGTTCTTTCGGTAAAGTCACCACGTAGAATGAGAATAAAATAATAAATTGATAAAATAAAATAACACAATAATATTCTCACGACGTTTCGGCCACAACACAAGCGGCCTTCATCAGGTGAAGGGACGAGACTGTCTGGAGCTCCAGCGCTGTCCTCCAGACAGTCTCGTCCCTTCACCTGATGAAGGCCGCTTGTGTTGTGGCCGAAACGTCGTGAGAATATTATTGTGTTATTTTATTTTATCAATTTATTATTTTATTCTCATTCTACGTGGTGGTGACTTTACCAAAAGAACCAAAGAAGATGAATCCTTGCAGTCACGAAAGCTTTAAATCGACAACTCCACCGTCCCCATCCTGCCGAGGCAAAGCCCACTGACGTGCGAACGCGATTTTCAGACGCGACCTGGCCACAAGCGAGGAGCACTTGCCCCCCCCCCCCAACCAGTCTGCGAACGCTACGCTGGAGAACCTTTGTCTGTGTCTGTGTCGTCAGCCGGCAGGGATCGTTGGCGTCGTTTGTGCCGCTCCGCAAGCCCCGGAGGGGGGGCTTGCGGAGGCATTCCGCGTGTCAGCACCTGCCCGCGTGGCGGAGGCGAGGCCGCGGCCGCTCCCGGGGGAAACGTTGGGCCAACGTTGGGCCAACGTTTACAACCGCACGCAAACGTTGGGCCAACGTTGGGCCAACGTCGAGCCAACGTTTCCAACCGACGTTGGCACTACGCACTCGCCTGCCTCTCTCATCTGATCTCGCTCAACTTCCTCTCCCCTCCCACCCCACTCACGTCTCATGCACAAACCACTGCACTGCATTTTGAGAATTTTTATTGTTTTATATATATATTATTATTTTATTGTTTCCCTTCACTGCGCTGCATGTCAAGACAACACACTTGCTCAGCCACCCACTCATTTATTCAACCACCCACTAACTCACTCACCCACCCACCAACTCACCCACCCACTCATTTATTCAACCACCCACTGACTCACCCACCCACCAGCTCACCCACCCACTAATTTATTCAACCACCCACTAACTCACTCACCCACCCACCAACTCACCCACCCACTCATGTATTCAATCACCCACTGACTCACCCACCCACCCACCCACCAATTCACCCACCCACTCATTTATTCAACCACCCACTCACCCACCCACCAGCTCACCCACCCACTCATTTATCCAACCACCCACTAACTCACTCACCCACCCACCAACTCACCCACCCACTCATTTATTCAATCACCCACTAACTCACTCACCCACCCACCAACTCACCCACTCATTTATTCAACCACCCACTAACTCACTCGCCCACCCACCAATTCACCCACCCACTTCACTCACCCACCCACACACCACACTGTCCACATTCTGCAATGCCCTGGCATCGCCCCGCTGTAATCACCTCGACTTCCTACTTACAATCAGCGTACTCTCTCATCGTCTGGCACCACTTCGTCGAGTGCTGCTTGTCGCTGGCCGCTTGATACATCGGGCTTTAACGGGGGGTTATTGCTCAGCAACCGTTAGCATTGTTGCACCTACGGTGCGACCAGATCGAGCGATGCACGCGGCATTTCTTGAACTCGTTCGACCGAAACTTTCGCCGCCGGTGCGGCAGAAGTCCCGAACGAGAATGTGGGGAGTGGTTGCCGCCGCTGGATTCCAGCGCCCAGCGAGCAACGCACTCGGCTCGCGACTCACGAAGGCTGCGTGGGACGTGCGTATATGCGTCTGTACGTATGTGCGTCTGTACGTATGTGCGTCTGTACGTATGTACGTCTGTACGTATGTGTGTCTGTACGTCTGTACGTCTGTACGTATGTGCGTCTGTACGTCTGTACGTCTGTACGTATGTGCGTCTGTACGTATGTGCGTCTGTACGTATGTATGTACGAATGTACTATGTACGTATGTACGCATGTACGTCTGCACGTATGTGCGTCTGTACGTCTGTACGTCTGTACGTATGTGCGTCTGTACGTCTGTACGTATGTGCGTCTGTACGTCTGTACATATGTGCGTCTGTACGTATGTACGTCTGTACGCATGTACTATGTACGTATGTACGCATGTGCGTATGTACGTCTGTACGTATGTACGTATGCACGCATGTACGTCTGTACGCATGTTGAACTTCTTTCGCACCATACGTAGCCAACCGTGCATTGAGATGATTAAAGTCGCTTTGTTGAGCTGTCATTTGTGGCCAGGTCGCTTCTGAAAAATAAGTTAATAACTCAGTGGGCGAGCAGCACCTAATGAAGACCGGTAAGACGCACGAGGGGGTGGGTGGCCAGCACCACGCCCGGCCGCCTTTGTCTCCCCAGTGGCGATGTTTACACATCGCACCAGGTACTCATTCGAGACCTGAATCGACCTAGGGGAGTCGCAGTACCGATTCAGATAATCGTCACTGGGTGTTGGCCTTGAGAGGGAATCCAACTCGGGCGGCCGGGTTCGCAGCGCTGCTAACCGCTGCACAACTGAGACTATCAACTCACTACGCTTGAGAACCCAGTTTAACCACAGCTCAGAGTATACAAGTCTATGGGTCTCTGTGTAAGTCCATGGATCTCTATGTGAGTCTGTGGGTGTGTAAGTCTATGGGTCTATGTGTGTAAGTGTGTGGGCCTCTATGTGATTCTGTGGGTCTCTGTGTGTGTCTATGGGTCTCTATATGATTATGTGGGTCTTTGTGTGTGTCTATGGGTCTCTATGTGAGTCTGTGGGTCTCTGTGTGTGTCTATGGCTCTCTATATGATTATATGGGTCTCTGTGTAAGTCCATGGATCTCTATGTGAGTCTGTGGGTGTGTAAGTCTATATGGGTCTATGTGTAAGTGTGTGGGTCTCTGTGATTCTGTGTGTCTCTGTGTGTGTCTATGGGTCTCTGTGTGTCTATGGGTCTCTATGTGATTCTGTGGATCTCTGTGTGTGTCTATGGGTCTCAAGGTGAGTTTGTGGATGTGTACGTCTATGGCTCTATGTGTGGGTCTCTGTGTGTGTGTGTCTATGGGTCTCTGTGTCAGTCATTGGTGACCACCAAATCACTGCGCTCGAGAACCCGGTTTAATCACTGTGGTTATTTTATTCATCATACTCTAAAAATACTTCCACAGTCTGCCTTTAATATTTGTTTATGTAACGTGTGCTTTACATTTTAATAATCACCCTAAATACCAGACTCCTCACCGCAATGGTTAAAAAAAACACTCGGATAATGGAATCGGCCCAACGGAGGAATGTAAGGCCCTCTTAAAAACGTCGAGTTGAGACTCAGCGAGCCAGCCTCCCTTGGGTTGGGCACTGTCGCAATGATTTGGCCAATGTGTTTCTTTATTGTGAAACACTCCACCACGTTAATCGCCGATTGTTATTATCGTGTCAGCTCAATCCAACCACCCAACCACTCACCCATCCGTCCACTCACCCCCACAAACTCACCCACCCATCCACTCACCCACTCATTCACTCACTCATCCACCCACCAACTCATTCACCCCCCGACCCACTCACTCACCCACTTACTCACGCACTCATTCACTTACTCATTCACCCACCAAGTCATTCACCCCCGACCCACTCACTCACCCACCCACTTACCCACTCTCCCATTCACCCACTCACCCACACATTCATTCACCCACTCACCCACCCGCAAAGACAAAGATCCCACGTACAGCCTGAACATACTGTTGGGGAAAGCGCTGTTTAAGTGAGCACTTACGAAGGCTGGCACGGCACACGCGAGGGGGTGGCTGGCCAACACCGCGGCCGGCCGCCTTTGTCTCCACAGTGGCGATGTTTACACATTGCACAGGGCACTCATTTGAGGCTGAGTCGACCTAGGAGAGTCTCAGGACCGGTTCAGATAATCGTCACCGGTGTTGGCCGTGAGCGGGAATCGAACCCGGGTAACACCGGGTTTGTAGCGCAGCGTGGCGCTCGCCACCACACTACCGCTCTTCTTCATAGCATACGCACACACATGCACGCTTTGTGCTGTTGTTGTTCATGCGCAGCGTGTCGTTGAGTCATTGTTGTTGGCTGTGCTTGTACACCACTGCACACGCAGCAGCAGAGGCAACGCGTCGCTCCGTTTTATTTGTCTTCATTGTTTCAATGTAAACCTACGGTCGTGCATTTCACTTTCAGACTTACGGCCGGAGACGAATTGTTCGCGGCCAATCCTGCGTCCCCACATTGCCGCGTGGTCTAGCGTAGGGCAACCCCAGTGGCAGCTGTCACTGCGTGATACCAGGTGGACTCGGCACCCGGCGCTCTGAACGGGCATCAGTCTGCCAGTAGGGGAGGGCGGCGACGATTCGCTGCTGCGTGGTCTCGCCTAGGGCACCCCCGGTGGCAGCTGTCCCTGTGAACACTTGACCCGTGACACCGGCACGCAATGGCCTACCCGTCTAGAGTGACGTCACGGGACCTCAGCTTCCGCTGTGAGTGAAGCGGAAGCAGCCGAGTAGAGTTTGTACGGCTGGACTCACCGCAGAGACGCGCAGACTCACACCGAGACCCACAGACCTGCACGGCAGACCCTGACAGTCTCGGACCGTCAGCTGTTCAGAAGCTGCGGAGGGTTCCCCTGAATCCTGGTCCGTCCTCTCGTTGTCTCGGCAGAGCGGCGTCGTGCACAGAGACCTGAAGCTGGAGAACATCCTCCTGGACGAGAGCGGCAACATCAAGGTGCAGAGGGGCGAGGGGCAGCCCTCACTCCACTGGGCACTGCACGCTCGCTCCTGGTGCAAGCGTCCCGCAAGCCCCTCTAGGGGGTTCATCGCAGCAGCAGCAGCAGCAGCATTGCCAATGGCTGAACACGAGCAAAAAACGTCTGGACCGGTTTAGACGTTCCGTGTGTTTCACCGTCAGCAGAGTGACGCTTTGCTTGATGCATTGCTGGTGAACTGCCAGACGTTCATGGGCAAGGACCGGATCGTTATGCGTGTATGTCGGTTGAACTTCTTTCGCACCGTACGTAGCCAACCCGCGTTAATTTTGGAGGTGTGGTTTTGGAAACAGACTAATCACACAAAAAAAGCAGTCCTAAGGACATAAGTTCATCAATCTCGATGATTGTTTAAAAGCGCACAGCTCCAGCGGCCTCCTAATTGAGGAACAGAAGAGCGTTCCAGACGGCCGCAGAAGCGCATCTGAAAGCGCGCGATGCGGTGGCCATCTTTGTTCGATGGCCGGCCAAAAATCCGTTGCTGCTGCTGTGGGGATGAAAGCTGCGTCGAGGTTGAATAATTAATGAAGCTCTTGAATAATTAATGATTACGAATGATGATTATGAATAATTAATGATGATTATGATTACTCGTCCATTTCAGATTGCCGACTTTGGTTTGTCCAATCTGTACGCGCACGACCGCTATCTGAGCACATTTTGTGGAAGTCCTCTCTACGCATCGCCCGAAATCATCAACGGACGGCCTTACCGGGGCCCCGAGGTACGCCCCCCCCCCACAGCCCCCCACCCTCCCTCCACTCATCCCACCACTACTCCCCCACCCAAAATATTCTCACTCATCCATTCATTAATTTACCAAGTCACTCAGTAACTCGGTAACTCGCTCACCCACCTAGCCAAGACCCTTTACCACGACCCTGGCCATGACCATGACCATGACACCGAACCGTGGGACTGGCCGTGACCCCGACCATGACCCTGACCACGACCCTAGCCATGACCTTGACCACGACCCTCACCCCGACCATGACCCTGGCCGCGACCCTGACCACGACCCTGACCGCGACCCTGACCGCGGTGCTGCAGGTGGACAGCTGGGCGCTGGGCGTGCTGCTCTACGCCATCGTCTACGGGGCCATGCCCTTCGACGGCCACCAGCCGGGCGCCCTCGTACGGCAGATCTCAGCGGCGCGCTACCAGCAGCCCACACGGCCCTCTGGTGAGTGGCCTCCAGCCTCGCTCCACCCTTAGCAGCGTCCACCCCTCGCCCTCGCTCCACCCCCCATCAGTTCACCCCTAACCCCACGCCCTCACGCCTGTAACCCGTCTCCCCCCGCCCCCCCGTAGAGGCGAGTGAGCTCATCTCGCGCCTGCTGGTCGCGAGCCCCGAGCACCGCGCCTCGTCGCAGGCGGCCGCGCACCACCGCTGGGTGAACTGGGGCTACCGCCGGTGCGCCTGCGGCTGCCTGGGGCCCCCCGGGGGGCCCACGCAAGCGCGGGGCCCCCCGGCGAGGGCGGCAGAGGCGGCCCCCCGGAGAGCGGAGCCGGCTCCTGCTGCTGCTGCTCCTGCTGCTGCTGCTCCCGCTGCCTCTGTTCCGCCTGCGTCTCGTAGGTTCAACGGAGGTGAGCGGGCGGGTCAGTTGGCGAGCGAGTGTTTGCGTGCGGGGGCGAGTGTGGGAGTGAGTGAGTGAGTGGGCGAGCAAGCGAGTGAGTTGACAGGCGAGTGTGTGAGAGAGTGAGCGAGTGTGTGAGTGAGTGAGTGTGTGAGTGAGTGAGCGGGCAAGCAATCGAATGAGTGAATGGCCAGGCGAGTGTGTGAGAGTGAGTGAGCGAGTGAGTGAGTGAGTGGGCGAGCAAGCGATTGAGTTGACAGGCGAGTGTGTGAGAGAGTGAGTGAGCGAGCGAGTGTGTGAGAGAGTGAGTGAGCGAGCGAGTGAGTGTGTGAGTGAGTGAGTGAGTGGACGGGCGGGCGGGCGAGCGAGTGATCTCGTGAGTGAGCAAAATGAGTTGGCGAGCGAGCGAGCGGGCGAGCGGGTGAGCGACTGCGCTCTCTCTCCCTCTCTCTCCCCGCAGCTCTGCGACAGAAGCTGGAGATGTTCAACGCTCTCATCTCGGAGCGCAAGACGTTGGACTTCCCCAAGACGCTGTACAAGTCGCGCAAGCAGCACGACATGACGTCCCACCAGCACTGCGGGCCGCATCCCACCGCTACCACCGCCACCGGCAGCGCCACCGCAACCACCACCGCCGCAGCCACCGCCGGCACATCCGAAAACCCAGCCGGGATCCTCAAACCCAGCGCTTGTTGCAACAAAAACAGCAACAACAGCGGCACCGCCGCAACCACCACCACAACCACCACGACGACCGGCAGCAGGTTCAGCTTCATCAAGAAGGCCGGGGCGGCCGAGAGGGTGCGCGCCCTGCGGCAACCTCCGGCGGCCGCAGCCGCGGGGCCCGAGCGGCCGATGCCGCACAAGAGCATCCTAAAGCAGTCGGCCCAGCGTGAGTCCGGCTACTACTCGTCGCCCGAGCGCTGGGCGTCGCTCGACGCTCTCCACGGCGGCGACGCCGCGGCGTCGCCGCCGCCGCCGCCGCGGCCGTCGTCGTCGCCGTCCGACGCCGGCCGCGGGCCTCCGCCGCCCCCGTCGGCGTCCGTTCCCGACCTCCCGTCCGCCGTGTCGGACGCCGACGAGGGGGGGCGGCCGTGCCGGCCGAAGGGCATCCTCAAGAACGGGGGGCGCTTCTCGGCAAGACCCGGCGCGACGGCGCCGGAGGGCGACGTCGCCGGGCGCCGGGCGCCCTTCGCGCGCAGCAGCGAGAGCGTCCTGCTGGACGGAGCGGCTCCGACGGTGCCGCCGGGGGCGCCGAGGTCGCCGGAGGCGCCGGCGCGCGGCCACGGCACCGCGGGCTCCGGGTGCCGCCGGTGGGCCGGCCGGCGGTCGCGCCGGCAGCCCGCGGCGGCGGCGGCGATGAGAGGGGCGCGGTCCGTGGGGGACCTGTCGGAGAGGGCCGAGGAGGAGGAGGCCCCGGGGTTGGCCCAGAGCCGGTGCTACGGGGCGGCGGGCGTGGCCGACAGCTGCCTCTCGGCGCTGGCGAACCTGGAGGACGTGACGGACGAGTACAAGCGCGCCGTCGGCGGCCCGCGAGGGGACGCGGCCGTGGCGTGAGACGGGGGGGGTGGGGCGGGGAGCGCAGGGCTCCCCCGAAGGACCCCCCGAAATAGTTAAGCAGCCAGCAACGAACAGCACTGCAGGGATGTAACTAACTGAACGTTTGGCGGAAGGCATTAAATGTCGCGGTGCGAGCGGTTGGCGGATCGATGGCGCTAATGAACGCCAGGGGCACCGCCTCCTCCTTGCTGTCCCGCCGAGCCCAGGGAACTGGAGATGCAACAGATGGACATTAGCCCACACTTTGCTTTGTCGCCTTCTTCCGGCCAGCGAGTGGATTGTGCCGCTGGCCGTGGTCTAGAACGGATGCAAACGGGGTCTCCTCAGGTCTACTTATATGACATCAACAAATGTTTAATTCGCGAGTGATTTTTTTTAAAAAAATATACAAATTCACCGCTGGGTATAGCGACCGTGTGTAGCGAGACGTGAGTGTTTACTATTTTTCGTTTTCATTTCACGAGTTGAGGCCCCACTGAGCTACGTAGCTCTTTGTCAGAAGCGACCTGGCAAACAATTGATAGCTCAATGAAGTGGCTCGTCATCATCACGTGGGCATTTATGGCGGCCAAACACTCTAAACGCGTGATGATGTTGATTCTAAATGTGGAGGGGAAAACCGGAGGACGCGGAGAAAAATCCACGCGACCACTGGGAGAGAGAGAGAGAGAGGGGCACGCAAACTGCAAATATACAGCAGCAGCAGCAGGCGTCGGGGTCGTGATCGAACCCACGTGCTCCTGTGTACCAGGAGAGGTAGTGAACATCTCCGAGCTGTCAGCGCCACGGGCGCGTCTCTTGCCTGCGACAATCAAGAGCGTGGCGCGCGCACGCTCAAGGGGCACGCTCACGTTTACAAAAGTCCGCGGAGGGAGTTGCGATCGTTGAGGATGGAGACTCGATGGGTGGAGGCGGCAGATTCCCGCCACGCGCACAGGCGTAGAGGGTATAGGTTCGCATCCCAGCGAGGGGGGTATTGTGTACACACCATCGACACTATCTTTATCATCATCATCGTATGTTCTCATCTTCATCAACACCTATAATCACATCATCATCATCATCACCACCGCCGTCGTTTTCTTTGTAACTTTTTGCATGACGTTCATAATAATGGGTATCATCAGCACCACCGTTGTCATCATCGTCATCTTAAATCTTCATTACCATCACCATCAACGCCATTATTTTAAATACCGTCATCACCGAGGTTATCATCATCGCCATCATCATCACCACCGCCATCATCATTATCACCACCACTACCATCATCACCACCAACGTTATCACCATCACTACCATCATCACCACCACCACCACCATCATTATCACCACCACTACCATCATCACCACCACCGCCATCATTATCACCACCACCACCATCATTATCACCACCACTACCATCATCACCACCACCGCCATCATTATCACCACCATCATTATCACCACCACCACCATCACCATCTTCCCCTGGGTCGGTAAGGAGCTACTCCTGCTGCAGTACCTTAACCTTGGCGGACGCATCCATCGATAAATAAACCGTGATACGGATATGCCGGGCCTTGTCATGGGAATGTGGAATCTCCAGCACTGCCAACGGAGATGAGCGACTGCCGCTTCCGCCTTCAAGATGGCGGGGGGCCTCTGTGAAGCCCTTTGACGCCAACGCTTTGAGATGAGATTGAGTCGCGAGCTGATCATCGGAACGAAAAACCCGCCGGGCTGTGCCATGGAATCTACGGAGCGAGGCTTCTTCAGCCATACGTGATGATGATGATGATAATACTGGCTTGGTAGCCCAAGTATTTCTTAATTAGTACCTTTGTTGTTATTGGTAATGGTATTACGATCAAACGTCGGGATTCCAGAGCATTGCCCACGGCTAAGTTAAAACATTTCATTTGGAATGAATTTGCGCTGGTCTGCATTGGGGGAATGTCTCCTACGGATGCTAAATGAGATATTGTCCGACCAATGTTTCTGTTCAACGGTATCGTACAGTTTTTTTAAAAATTTGTTTTTGTACAATAAATGGCAATTATCTGAAAGCGATCGTGACGCCGTCATTCCTATTCACTTGGTAACCTCTCTTTAACGACGTGACTTCACCGAAATAACCAGAGTATCTCTGTCAGCTACAGCCTCCCGTAAACCATGTGGCTTCCGTGTGGCCACCCCCACTGAGCCCCTCCAATCTCGTCGACAGATCTCTCTATCTTTCTCGTAACTTTCATCGCCGGTAAAACAAACACAAAAACGCGAAAAAGTACTATGAAGATGGCCCATTGCTCGAAACGTCACCTACTATAAATCTCGTTAGTAAAAAGGCCAGACACCACCACCATCACCACCAACAACACCACCACCAGAGCCTGACTCTGCTGATGAGACACTGAATGTCAAAACCGTTCCTTGGCTGTAAGATTGGAAGGTGCCCCTTGCCATACAGCGTTTCAAATAACTGCTGGGGCAAGTGCCGTTAGCGAGTAGCGCCGATTGTTGAATGGTGGCACGTCACACCACACCTTTGTCTCCCCCAGTACCGCTGATGTTTACGCATCGGACCGGGTACTAATTTAAGGCTGAGTCGACCCTAGGGAGGAGACCTACACACACACACCCTTGTCACCATCATCATCATTACTACAAAGGCCACACCATTACCACCACCATCACCACCAGAGCCTGACTCTGCCGATGAGACACTGAATGTCAAAACCGGTCCTTGGCTGTAAGATTGAAAGGTGCCCCCTTCATCATCATGTTCCAGGAATTGACAGCGGTCGCGAAATTCAATGGCGTTGTTTCAGTCGCACCCACGTGCCCATTGTTCCCGCATCCTGGAGCCAAAATGTGGCGGACGAAGATTTATTTTTATGGGTCGCGGTGAGGAATATTTATTTATTTAACTCCTTATTGTGGAGAGGCGGATATGTGAAGGAGACTGCGTATGCTCAATCTCATTTGTTATCTACATGATGTGTATTTACGTTACGTTATCATATTTACATTATGCATATTTAAATAACGTCATCATATTTACATTGTGTATATTTACGTTACGTCATCATATTTGCATTACGTCTATTTACGTTACGTCATCATATTTAGATTATGTATATTTACGTTACGTCATCATATTTACATTTGTGTCTATTTACATTACGTCATTATATTTTGCATGATGTATATTCACGCTACGCCATCACATCGTCATTGTGTTCTCACACATTGACGCCTACGATCGTGTCGCGTTGTGCATCACGGCCGAGTTCCGCGTCTAACTGGGACCCCCCCCCCCCCCAAAAGCGCGCAGAGAAATCGCCCTCGACTCTGCGGATGGGCGGTTCGCCAGCATTGGTGCAGCCTGAAAGCCTGGGCTCTGCCGATGAGACACCGCGTGTCGAAACCGATCCTCGCCCAGTTCACATTCGACGGCGGTGGAAGTCTGCGTGCGCGTGCGCTGCACTTGGTTGGCGCCCCACGTGGCCAATGGGAGGTGCGCGAGGAAGCCCCCTGGACCCCCAGCGCCGGGGGTGACCACCGGGCGGTGTTGGCTCGCCAGGCGGGCCCCGTCAGCAGGGGGGAGGGAGGGAAGGGGGGGGGGAAAGGGGAGGGAGGGGGAGTTGGAGGGAGGGAGGCAGGTAAGGGGGGAGGGGAAAAGGGGGGGGAAGGGGGGAGGGAGGGGAGGGAAGGGGGGAGGGAAGGGGGAGGGAGGGCGAGTGGGAGAGGGGGAGGGAGGGAAGGGGGGGGAGGGACGGGGGAAGGGAGGGCGAGAGGGAGGGGGAGAAGGAGGGAAGGGGGGAGGGAGAGAGGTAAGGGGTGAGGGAAGGGCGAGGGAGGGAAGGGAGGGGGAGAGGAAGGGAGTGGAAGGGAGGGAGAGAGGGAAGGGGGAGGGAGGGGGAGAAGGAGAGAAGGGGGGAGGGAGGGAGAGAGGTAAGGGGTGAGGGAAGGGCGAGGGAGGGAAGGGAGTGGGAGAGGAAGGGAGTGGAAGGGAGGGAGGGTCTCAAGGCACGCGGGCGGTCGGTTAGGGATCCGTAAGCTGAGGAAACTGAATGACTGCTTGGGTACAGCTCCCACCGCCCTCTCCCCCCCCCCGCCGCCCCCCAATCCAGTCCGAGTGCGGAGCTAACGCGGGTCGAGTCACGTGGCCGGTCCCCCCGGGACTCTTTAGACAGCGCGGCCGTGTTTGAAATTGTTTCAGAATCTGAAGAATAGTTTTACACTGCAGGAGGAATCCGATGAGCCTTTAAGCTCCTTTTCACAGATGTGCAGTCGTGTTCAGAGATGTGCAGTCGTGTTCACAGATGTGCAGTCGTGTTCACAGATGTGCAGTCGTGTTCACAGATGTGCAGTCGTGTTCAGACATGAGACAGGTGCCGCTCAGGACTTGTGGATATTTGTCAATCGGGCTGCCACGTGCAGTGAGTTGCTGGGTCTCGCAGAGAGAACCATATAGTCACGTACAGATCAATTGCCCCACACAGAGACCCATAGACTTACACAGAGACCCCATAGACTTACACAGAGACCCCATAGACTTACATAGACTGTTGGTGATTCAACCGGGTTCTCAACTGTAGAGACTCACGTAGAGACCCATAGACGCACAGAAACCCACAGACTCAGACAGAGACCCATACACTTATATAAAAGACCCATAGACTCACAGAGACCTACAGACTCACACAGAGACCCATGTACTTACGTCAAAGACCCACAGACTCACAGAGACTTACAGACTCACACAGAGACTCATCTCCTAGCCACCGTGATGATGATGAGAGAGAGATGCAGACTCCACATACACCTCGTGTACACCCGGCGAGGTAGTTAACATCTCCTAGCCACCGTGATGATGATGAGAGAGAGACGCAGACTCCACATACACCTCGTGTACACCAGGCGAGGTAGTTAACTTCTCCTAGCCACCCTGATGATGAGAGAGAGACGCAGACTCCACATAGACCTCCTGTACACCAGGCGAGGTAGTTAAC